CCCGCGGGCCCCCCGTGTTTTTTAGACCATGTTTTCAATTTTTCAATTTTGTAACACTATTAGTTTTAATGGACAAAAACCGTCTTTTACTCTTAAAATGTCGGAGTTTTTCGGAAAAAAGTTATACTTTATTCTTAGTTAAATCAAAAATGGATGTAGAAAGAAATGAAAAAGGAAAATAAAGGTCTCGAAATGTTTTTAAAATAGTTTGGTACCTTAGATGGTAAATTAATAAACAAGATTGAATAAAAATATATTTTATAAATTGGAAAAAATTGCACCATTGGTCGTAATCAATAATCATTAATGTCTACTCTACCCCACTACATATTTGTTACGTTCGATATGATTATTCTCTTCATCTATATCTTAAGACTAAGAAGCAATTGAATCAATTACAGTTGAACAACCAGTTTAGGTTTGATTTATATATGCATGGGAGAATCTAAATTTATGTTACTGATTCTTGATTACCTATTCAAGGTTAGTTAATAATTCAATTATTTATTAAAGAAAATTCCTTTTAAGCTCCACTTGGAGATGGATGATAGTTGGTTCTTTTTTTCCTTTTTATTATTTTTTTCAAAATATAGTTGAGTAGGTCGATTGATGATGATATACATTATTTCATCCTTTATTTATTATTTCATTTTCTAATATAGTGAAGCCAAATAATATATCAATGCAAATGAATAGTTAGCGATTCATTAATAACTACAAATGGCAAGAATCCATAGAGAAGAAAAACAATCAATTATTGAGTAAAGTATCCAATTCTAGTGGTGCTTGATAAGTGCGAATTGCACACTAACTTAATGCTTTTTTCTACACATTTGCTACTGTTCTCGAGTCAATTCTACGTCGAATCTGTGCTATTTTCCATCTTAGGAACAACTCAATAATCAACCACATTTTATAGAAAAAAAAATCTCAAAGTTGTAAGTGTTATGCCCTATATCCAATCGATTTAGGTTGTAAGCGCTTTTAATATGTTTAATGCATTTAATTTTGGCAAGATCTATTATTTATTTAAATTAATTGTGTGATAAATAATATTAAATAATAGAATCCGAAGATTCAAGTTTAAGTGATTTGTTAATCACAAGGATTTGTGATTGTGAGATACAAATTACGTATGATTGGATGTTCAATAAACCGTGGTCGTAAGTAATAACGAGATACGAATATCATTAATACAATTAGACCATCACGTGTGACATTTCTTACTTGTGAAGTAAGTGGCTGATCTCACGAGTTAAAGTGTGGCGACACTTAAATGAACACGTGGATGTTTGTTTATAGAATAATAGAATTAATATTTACATTTGCTTTTTGTTCTATTACGAAAGTTAACTTCTAAGAAGAATAATTCAAACTCTTATATGTTATTATATTCTTTTTAATCTAAAAACTTAATGGATCGGTTTGCAGAGTATTAATCTTGACATTTAATACTTTATTCATTTAAAATTTAGACAAATTGAATTGCTCTTCTGATTATTTTGAACTTGGATAACACCTTGACAAAAAAATAATCCCAACTTTTAAATCTTAATTGTTAAATTTCTTAAAAGAGACATAATTTATCCAAACATCGTATTCTAAGTATGTAACACGTGTACACTTAAACTACATTTCTATTTCTCTAAGAAAGGTATCCTTTGGGAAATATAATAAATTTACAAATCATGAATATGGATTAAGACAGAGAAATTAATTAAATAACAAAGAGAGAAGCATGTTATTAGCTACATTCTTAAAGGTCGACACAGGAATTGGAAAAGGTCGTCAATGCTCTAAACTCAGTGGCCGTTTGATTAAGTTAAAATTCATATTTTTAGTGTATTTTGATAAAATTGGTAAAAAATATGGTTTCAAAGTTGATAAAATTAAGTTATGTGTCCTATAAAATATATGGTTGAAAATGAATGTTAAAAAAATAAATTATAAAAAATTGGTGCCAAACAGGAGCTTAGTTGAAGATATACTTTTCTTTAGTAAAAATAAAGATACTCGTATCCTCGATGATTACTTCTAATAAGCGACAAAAATAATTAACAAAATATATTTGTTTAACTATTGAAAAAGATTCAATCGCTTGTAAAACTTAACCAAACCTCCGCTATTCATGTTAATAATAATATAAAGCGAAGACATTAAATTTGAGAAAGAACTATTAAATTAAAAATAAAATTTGTGGATGTTGTTTCAAGTTGATTCATGACCTAGCCATGGTCAATTTTAGTTTAAGCAAAGAAATTTGACAATTAATATTTAATAACTCTGTGCAAATTGTTTAGTTGGTTGGCTCACTTTGGTGGAGTTTGT